AATCCAAGATGAACTACGCGGTGCCGCCCGGCCTCGAGTACCTCACGCAGCTGGACCAAGTGCTCGTCCAGCAACTCTACGAGGTCTTCGAGTGTGAGTTTCAAGTGGCGCTCCAGTTCACAAAGCTTTGTTTTAGGATTGACTGTGCTGTTAAATCTTGAGCATGCACACTTACATACTACTTACTAGGTCATTTGCGCACGTCAAGCATACGCACACGCATACGCACACGCACACGCACACGCACACGCACACGCACACGCACACGCACACGCACTACTTTTGAAAGGTCTGAAGTAGGATAACTGGAAATAGAATGTGACAGATGTATGCTTGCATTTTAAAAACGTTATTATTTGCCTTATGTATACCACATGCTTTGTATATAAACTATTTTTAGCTATTGTTTTATGTACAACTACAACATTTCTTGAATGTCCGCTGATACACAACATGCAGTGCCTCTAGGCTCTGTAGAATATACATCCTTTCTTCCATCCCTCTTTTCTAACATTCTTAATTAGTGTTCAATAAGCACTTCACGTATCATTCTTCAAAACACTGTAATTGTTTGTCTGTGAAGCAGGCAATTTTTTCAAATAACAAATTGAAAATAGAATATATCTCATTCATCTCTGGAATCTTGTAGGATCTTCTGTTAATAGATTTTTATAGATCAAGAAACTTTCATTTCCTGTAAAGGCACCTAACATGTAGAATATAGAAATATATATCCTAAAGTATAAACCTCTGTTTTTGATAAATTAAAGTCAAGCCTATATATTTGGATGAAGCAATGTGTAATGGCATAGCAAATAAGGCAGTTGCACTGATGAAAATAGATGTTTCATTTCTTGTTCAAAAATTCTAACATAGCATCTACTAGTATGGCTATTTACATTGTAATAATTGTAATCATTTATTGTAGTGTATAAAATTGCTTATGGTATGAAATAACACATTTGTCTGGTGTATATAGGTAGAATGCATTAATTTAATTATTGCACTTTGAAGCTTATGCCTAAATAAAGGCCTGCTCTGAACAACCATGCTTGAAGATATGATATAAAGTTCATGTCTTATTGTTGTAATAAGAAATCATTGTAAACATGAATGTGTCTCCACAGTGCTCTCAGGCTGTGAGATGAACAACAAGTACTTGCTGAAAAACAGTGTAGGCCAGCAGTTCTTGAAAGCAGTGGAAGACACTGATTGCTGCACCCGACAGTGCTGTGGGCCAATGCGCAGCTTTGAGATGCAGCTTCTGGATAACCATGAGCAGGAAATATTGCACCTCAGTCGACCCCTTGCTTGTATAAACTGCTGTTGTTCCTGTTGCCTCCAGGTGAGTGAATTTTCATTGTTATATTCCTATTACTGTACCAAGTTCTTGCATGGGCATACCAAGGTAGATGCAGGGGATGCTGCATCTATCTTAGGCCAAAACCATCAGGTTTGGCAGGTTAGTGGAACTTAAGCAAAGGTGCTAGTATTCAGTAGTAGCCTTGTTTTGAGTGGTCAGTGTTGTTGCTTGTAGCTGATCTTGACAATTTCCCCAATCTGTCACTTCTGGCTGGGCAACCACATTACATAGCTTGTAACCAGAGGACCATCATTTATAATTTTGATAATTTCTTCAGCACTACCCCTGCCTTCTCTTAGTATGCTTTCCTCTAATGCAGCTAAAACTCTTGCAACTGTGCACATACACTGTAATTTACACTTAGTTTGACTTTAGAGTCATCACTCAGATGCCTCTTTTCTCAGGTGCAAAGGTAATTGCCATTTTCATTGTGCATTATTGGGATTTCTTTTTATATAGGTATTAGAAATATTACCTTTTTGATGCTTAAACTCATGATATGATAGCACTGCATGTCCATACATACAACATATAAATTCTTACATATATAAAATGTGTAATGATATAAAGATTATTAAATGCAGTAAACAGGAAATTTGTATCGCTGTTCCCTAAAACCATATCAGAAAGTTTGCAGATAATTTTTTCCCCTCATTTGAAGTTCTCAGTAGGGCCAAAAACATATGTTGATAATTCAAGGTTAGATATTATGATTTCCTGTTGTACTTTGGGAGATCTTTTATGTATGATTTTTTTGACACTCGAGATGTGTGTTATTTATATGATATTTGTAAATATCGTTGCTGATGCTTCTGATTATATTTCTCTCTGAAAGTTTCACTGTATCTGTTTTTCACTCAACACCTATTTACATTTACAGATTAATAGGCATTGATTTCATCTGCATGGGTTTTCATAATGAACCAGCTTTTCACCTCATAAGTGTCTTTCAGGAATCTACCAAGTCATATGTTGCAGATGAATTCATAGGCTTCTTCAAATAACACTCTGTAGAAGAGCAGTAGTTAAGTCTACCAGTATTACTTTTTTGAAGTAGAGAAGGACATAGCACTACCCCAGCTCTGAAGTTAGAAAAGAATTAGTTGCTTGTTAGTAAGGAAAATAATGATGGATTAT